GTAGGAACCAAATGATGCTATCAAGAGGGGGGTACTGAAGGTAAGAGGGGAACCCAGGCACAAGTCACGCTCGTTCACACGCAAATCCACACCAAATGGAAAGACTGATGCACTGGAAATAATCAAAAATTCAAATCACAAATAGGTACATCTCAGCGGACTTCTATGGAGCAGAACCCTTCTACCCAAGTCTGTGGCTGCTCTCACGCACACACAAGACAGACTGAGCCCCAATAAGCTCGGCCTGCACGCTCGAAGCCCAGAAATTACATCGCAAGCACAATACGGAGCCATCGAACTTTACTGCAACTGGACACCACGAACTATCCAATTGCCACTCTGAGATCTATTTCTCCGATTTCCGAAGTTAAGTCACTTGGAGAACAATCCTATGTAGCGGACAACTGGTAAATTCAAATTAGTCTGCTCACCTTCTGGGCCGTTCAGAAGCTGGTGGTATTCGGACTCCCTGTCGCACACGAAAAGTGAAAACTGTGATTTTCATCTACTATACTTTGACCAAGACTCCATTGGAAACCCCCACGTTTGGGTGTCTGTCCGCGATGTGACAGTGAAGGAGCCTGGAGCTATGTCCCCTACTTGCAGTTCTCCCGCCTGTGCTAAGAGCAGGGCCTGGCGTGGTTAGTGACAATCCACAGTATCGATGGCAGCTGGCACTGGGGACAGCAGCAGAAGATGACTTGCTTGTGTCGATCCATTTGTGAATGTAGCTTATAACGTTTGCTTTCAATTTGGGGGGGAAATGCGTATTTCCTAGGAACCATTTAATAAGCACAGATTATAATCAACTCACACTTGTTCAATGAGGAGACAGACTAAGGAACTTCTTAGAACCTGCTGTTTCGTCAACAGGGCGGCTCCTAAGGGACCGAGGAGTCGGGAGCATTGTTCCGAGGTAGAACTCAAGAAAGTGGGGACATTCCCTTTCGCCCTATGACTAGCCTGGCCCGTGTTCTCATCATGTCCTTTGTTAGGCGGCCACATGAAGGGCTGTCCTTGCTTCTACTGGCACGTTCCCTCTAACCCATGACGTCCACAGCACCAAGTCATCTTTTAAGAAGTCAATCCGATCAGCCCAAGAGCGTCTGATCGTAAACTTCCAGCAAGCTCTCCGCGAGGCCGGAGGAGAGCTGAACTCCATTCTGGGTGGCAAGTCCCCGAGGCCTAGCTCCTGGTCTCCGCAGCTCCCTCCAACACCAGGCACCCGGCCGGTCCTCCGGGTCTCCCAAGCTCTGCCTCTGATCAGCGTGACCTCGATGGCCTCTGCCCGGGGAACACCTTCTCGAAGCTTTTGTATGGCCCATGCTCACTTTGGAGATCTCGGTTCAAGGACCCCATTTTAGAAATGCCACCCCTAAGTGTCGAATGAGTCAACGCCGTGTTTCTATTACATTGAATGAGATCAGGAGATGGAAGGGATGCGAGCGAGCAGTGAGCAGGTTTGTGGGTGCAGCTGCTGGAAGGCGCAAGCTTGCGGATCCTAACCCGGCACAAGGCAGGCACCGCCAAGAGGCAGGTTTGCATGGACACGGACCCAATCACCTTGGGGTGGGGTGAGGTCCCAACCACTGGAAGCGTTGAAAGAAAGGGCTGTGATCACCTGGCAGTGACCCCAGCAGTGGGGGTTAAGTAGCGTGACTGAAACACCTATCATCTGAGGAGATGAATCTTGAGGGCATGCTTAGCTCTTGGAATCTCTGATTTTTCCATCCAAAAAAAAAGTCTCACTTCTAAAAAAATAATAATAATTGCAAAGAAAGATATCACCCCCTTTGATTTTTATAATAAACATGGACAGTGTTCTCATGTGGGATGAACTTAGTGCTGGCTGTAAAGGTTACTTTTCATATAACGGTTAATCTTTGAGAGATTACATTTTTTGAACAAACAGCTTATAAATTTTCATCGGGGGTGTCTGTTTAAATCTAGTTCTCTCTTCTGTTTTGGGATAATGGTCTTGTGTTTCTTTAAGATAAGGCCACAGCCAAACAGGGCCTCTGCTAATTTGAGGCTAACAGGAGAGATAGTTTAATTAGTTGGCTGCTATTATCTATTTAAGTGAGCAGCCAGGGAAAGGCCTGCCAGGAAGGAGGCGGGCAAGTGCGTGTGAAGCCATCTCTTCCCCTCTGCGCAGCTCTCACAAAGGAAGCGAACAGGCAGCCTGCACATAAATGGGAAACGCAGAAAGATCCCTAAAAAGAGTGGAGGCAGGCAAGAGAAATCATATGTCAGCAGAATGGATGAATATATTGGGGTATTGGCACCTTACCCATAAACCTGCCCATAAGTCAACTACTTTCAAATATTGTGAAACCCTCTGTTTCTTGACTATCACTAAACTATTCAGAAACTTTTAATAATTCTTTAATGGGAACCCATTAAAAAGAAAATTAGAAACTCGGAAGACCCAGAACAGTGATAACACAAGAAAACAATACCGATAATTTTGGTAATTGTATCTGGGAGAAGACCACAGAGACAGCGACAGAGAAGAATTAGAATGCTTGGTAAGATGGAACCACAGAGAGGTAAACAATCCAATAAATTATTAGTTTGCATGCCAAAAAATCAAAATTGTTATTTTCTCTTCTGTAAATAATCGTGTGGACTAGCAGTCCTGTTCATTTTCTCATTTTAATGGCAAAAAACATGAATGCACTGTTAGACTAAAAATTACTTCTTACAAATTATATTAATTGTTACAAAGCATGACTTTTATTTATAATCACGAGATTATATGCAATCCTCATTAAGAACCGGCTTTTCTGAAAGTTGATTATAAATCCTAAACCTCTGAGTTAATATTTCTCTTTTATTCATGACTGAAATTTTTCCAATATCAACTAGAGGACCTTTAAAGTACGAATTCAGATGTGTAACAGGCACTAGTAGAATTTTGCGGGTCACTTTTGGAAATTATGTGGTCTTTTAAAAACGATAAACCTAGTGATTAAAATGGAAAAAATATCCGTTTTCCATCTATGTGTCTTAACCACAAATTCTGTATTTGAGGGCAAACGTTTGTGAAAGATAAAGTCTCTGATAATTATTTTTAAGACGAACATGAAAAGCAAAAGTAACAACAACAAAAAACCCAGAAAGCTAGTCTAACCCTTGGATTTGAGATCGTCCGTTATGTCAAAAATAAAGTTAACTTCTCCAGGAAGTACTCAAATCCACTACAAGGGATGGAGAGTGACTAGAACTCTCTGGGATTTAGGGAAATGCTAATTCAACAAGTGAAACATCTCCCTGTGGCAAGACGAAAGGAATCGTCATGAACACATTATACATAGTTCATTTCCCAGCAACCATCAACGACCATTAGGCAATGTTTCGAAGGTCACGTAAGAAGCTATCATCCTGTCCAGGGAGGGGACAGGGACACCTCATTCCATTGTTTACAAGCAGACAACTTCCAGACATGCTCATTCAGGCCACGGGGGCAAAGGCGCAGGGCAGCTGAGCAGAGGGCCGATGGAGGTCGTTAGGAAATAGGGCCCCGTGAGATCTACAGGGACCCCCGGGGCCTTGCAAACCAACCCGAGGCGTTGCTTTCCCACTGCCTTTCACTGTGGCCACCCCGCAATGTTAACGTCTCTCTTTCATTCCGCCCAGAACCTCTAAAAACATGCCCGGCCATGTCTGTAAGTCACAGCCACTCAACCGATGAGCCAAACTCCAACAATCACACCCAAGACAACGCCTCCGACCTCCCGACAGAGACGTCGATAGATCCTGGAGACGGGCGAGCACCGGCCTGGCTGATGGACTGTTAAAAGCCCCCTGCAGAAAGGTGACACAGAAGACATCTCAGCGCCTTCAGCTCAAGTCGCTTCACACGACCTGGGCAGGAACACGGGCAAAACCCACCCACACACACGCACGTAGACAGGAATGCGGCTGGAATCATACAGACTATTTCCTACTGCGTTTCAGAAAGAGAGTCTATAATAACTGCCACTTCATTTAAACAAAAAAATTAGAGTAAGTCCTTCTGTAGACTTGTGACCACGCTCTGGCTGCCTGGATTAAGGGACTTCTTACTAAAACACACAGGCACCCCAGTAATTCTGTGACGCTTCAGAGAACTAGTTCAGCACCCCGATGGAATCGATGCATTTCCCAGGACGCTGTGTAGACGCACACAGGCCAGAAGGCCTGCGCCCACTGGCGCTCAGACACAACATGTAATAAAACACGGTATCTACACAGAGACACACCCATGCAGAGCTGGGTCTGGCTTCTCCATCCATCCTAAACCAGTGCCTGGGATTGTAAGCTTCCGTCTCAAAGAAACGAGCCAAAGAAAACTCATCAACCACTCTCTGCGGCACAGCTTCAGGCAGCCACTGGTACAGTCCCCTATTTAATGGATTCACTGGGCTCGGGGGGAGGAGGGGACAGGCGGTCTGTTGGATTTAATACACGACTCCTTTTGTGTAACTTATTTAGAAGTAACCATAGAAGAGCAGTAAAAGTTAAAGGCCGTATCTCTCAATCCCCTCTCCTTTCCCGGCCTTTGCGAGCATGACCTAGGCGTCCGTCTCTTTTGATCCCAAAGCCATTTCTGCCAGCTTTGGAAGGCACCTGTCAGGTAAGACTATTATGACCCGACTCAGCTTCTCAGGGACGAGCACAAGGTGCCACTTCCATGTCCAGCTCAATGGAGGCAGCAGCCCAGTGCAGCAGAAAGGAAACACCACCGGGAAGCGTTCGCCTAACCCCCTGGGCTGCTTGCGGCGAGGAACCCAACCTCAGCGGGGGCAGGGGAGCATTCTAGAACACGAAAGGGGCATCCCAGTGGTCACCCTTGCCACGTTTTTCTAGAATATGCCACGCCTATGAGAAACACGTTTAAATAACAGGAGAACAGGCGAATATTAAATAACAACAACCCTCCCCGCGTGGGAAAGCCCTCGGGGAGGCCCAGGGCGCGCCTGGAGGCGGGAGGTGTCCCGCTGTCCCCCGCCCCGTACCTGTATATCTTGTACCGTGTGCTGAACCCCTGGCGGCTTCTGTCCACGAAGTCGGTGTACTCCTGCGAGCGGTGGAAGGGTCCCTTGTCAGACAGGAGCCAGTCGAAGGGGCTCGTGGCATGCTGCTCCGACACAGCAGCGACGGCGACGACCCAGCAGTGCAGACTCAGGGCCACCCACTCCCATAGAGCCATCGGCGAGGCGGCTTCAGCAGCGGCNGCGCCCGCGCGGGCCCGCAGAGCCACAGGTTCTGCAGAGTCTCCTTCTGCTGAACTATGACATCGAGCACTTTCTAAACAAGCAAGGGATGCTTAACTATGTTATAGCTCGTTAGAAAATCGAATACTAAGTGTATTTATTGGTTAGCTAGCGTAGAAAAACGCTTCAAGATGAGTTAAAGAGATTCAGGTGGTTTATTTTCATGACACAGATAAAATTGGATGGCCCGGCCGGCGTGGCTCAGCGGTTGAGCGTCGGCCTAGGATCCAGGTGATCGGGGTTCGATTCCCGGTCGGGGCACAGGCCTGGGTTGGGGGCTCGATCAATGACTCTCATCACTGATGTTTCTATCTTTCCCTCTCCCTCTCCTTTCCTCTCTCTGAAATCAATAAAGATATATAAAATAAATAAATAAATAAAATAAAATTGGACGGAATAAAACTACGGGTTTAAGAACACATAGGTAAATAAATGATTGCTTATATATGTGATTAGTGTGTGTCTCTCTGTCTCCATACAGGCAAATGAATGAATGGAAGGAATCCAGGCGGGGGAGTGAGAGCAGAGTGTATGTTTGCTCGGGTATTTTTTCCCATTACCCTGTTAGAAACAAACTTCCCCGATTATTTAAACAGAATCACAGTTCCCTTATTTCCAGGATCTTTAAAAGACGTCAGTGTGCCTCTGCGTCCCATTCACGAGAGAGAGGCATGCCACACAATTCACAAACACAGAAACTAAGATGATGCACATTCCATGTAAACTATGAAAACAAGTACATTAATTTTCTGAGCACTCAAAAGGAAAGCAGCGGGACGCGCGACCCCAGGGTGGCCGGGCAAAGCGACTTTACAGGAAGCAGCTGAGGCAACGTCTAGACGCCACGGAAAAAACCCTACAAATATCTGAATTCAATTCTACTTTCTCTCTTCACCCATTTTCCCAGCATCATTATTTATAGCACATAAAACTAGGCAGTATATAAATTCTACTAATGAGAAAGTTTGGGTTGTAAAAGTTTTTAGTCAGCAAAATCTCTTTAGAAAGCAATCAAAATGCACAGTATTAGGTAAATATTTTAATGATGGTTGTCATATTTCTCTGGTGGTTGGATAAGGCAATTGATAGTTTTAATTTGCTTTCTGGTGATAACCCTATAATTCACAATTTAATCCGAAACGATTTATATGTGAGGGGTATAAGGCAATAATTTTGCGACTATAAAGTACGTCAAAATAGGGATACAGCGTGAATGGCCTGGATCATTCGATCCAAGGTCTTACCCATCACACCAGATGAGTTGCCCCAATCACATGAGTTCCTTCACTGTGGTGATTAAAATATGCCATTTTGAAAACAACATGGGAAGTCTTCCAAGTGAATACATTTTGAAAACGGTTTATCATAAGAAAAAATAACATCATGTAATAGAAACAGTTTGAAATAGGGGTTGGCTGTGTCCCCATCAATTATTTGTATGAATGGAGCACTGTCAAGTGAGTCAACTCATAATTCCCAATTCTCATGGAGAAAATAGATATTTTTTACATACTGTTTTGTTACGTGGGAGCTACACCGTTTTTCTTAAAATTAATATATTTCACTTACGTTCATAAACTAAGACTTACCATTATGCACCATGGAACAGTAGAACCCCCCTGTGACTAGCAAATGTTTCTTATCTTTGTTAAACACACACTTTCCTTCTGCTGATCAAATATATTCAAACTCACAACATTTAATCATTGTTGCAGAAATGTTGTATTTTCCTGTGTGAGCAGCGAGAATAGGGCCTGGCATGGGGTAGGGACATTAGGAAGGTTTCAAAGCACATTTCCGACTGGTGTGAAATCATGTAATTATATCCCTAACTCCTTAATCTTAAATCACAAAATTAAACCTGACTCGGCTCAGGCACATGAGTTCGTGAGACCCAGAGTATTACAGAAAAAACAGGGAAAGACCGACCTAGACGGCATGCGAGGTCCTACTCTCAAATTCTGTGACTTCTCCAGACCACTGTTGTTATCTTTTTCTTGACCAAATGTGTTAAAGAGGTTTCACGGTTCTCATTCCCTAGACTTAACCTATAAGTAGATGGAAAGATTTTCTTAAATAATGTGTAGGGAAACCATTTAAAGATGTTAGTATCAGGTATTTATTTATTGGCTTTATCTATTTATTTTAATGAAATTTACTGGGGTGACACTGGTTAATAAAATTATATAGGTTTCAGATGCACAATTCTATAATACGTCGTCTGTACGTAGGACTGTGTTCACCACCCCAAGTCAAGTCTCCATCCATCACCACTGACCCCCCTTTGCCCTCTCCGACCTCCCTCTACCCCGACTTCCCTCTGGTCATCACCACACTGTTGTCTGTGACCAGGAGAGGCTGGTTTTTTTACTAATTTCCTTCCCCCTTTTCACGCAGCCCCCCAACCCCCTCCCCTCGGACAGCCATCAGTCTGTTCTCAGCACCTATGAGTCTGTTTCTATTTTGTGGGCTACTTTATTTTGTTCATTAGGTTCCACGTATAAGTGAAATCCTGTGGCGTCTGTCTTCCTCGGACAGGCCTGTTTCACTTAGCGCGATGCTCTCCAGGCCCACCCAGGCTGTCGCCCAGGGCGGGAGTCCTCCTCTGTTAGCGCCGAGTAGTACTCCACGGTGTACACCCACCACCGTTTTATCCACTCATCTGCCGCTGGGCACTTGGGCTGCTCCCAGATCTTGGCTTTGTAAACAACGCTGCCAGGAACACGGGCATTTAAGTGGCAAAATTCTTTTACGGACAAGATACGCTTTACTCTCCTGACCAACGACGATGACTTTTAATATCTCGGACTACAATCAAGAAACAGCAGAGGCGTATTTCCATTTGGAGCCTCCGTATTAAATCCTAATGTCCGGCCCGGCCGGGCATGACTCAGCGGTTGAGCGTCGGCCCAGGATCCAGGTGATCGGGGTTCGATTCCCGGTCAGGGCACAGGCCCGGGTTGTGGGCTCAATCAATGACTCATCATTGATGTTTCTGTCTCTCTCTCTCTCTCCCTCTCCTTTCCTCTCTCTGAAATCAATAAAGATATATTTAAAATAAATAAATAAATAAATCCTGATGTCACCATAGTGTCACCGGCTTCTCAGCTGTCCTTTATAAACTGCACCCACCGTCTTGGTTGTCAAAGGCAGTCAACGCCGGGAGCGCCTGGTTATAAATACGTTTCCTGCCCCATCCCTCGGATTTGACTTTAAAATTCCAGTTTGTAACCTAAACACACTATGCAAAACCTCCTGCATCTGAGCTTTATTCCTTAGTCTCTGACCACTTTTCTTATGAATTGGAAAGAAGTGCGATCTGAATCCTACCGAGATATTTTTGTGATACGATCACACGAGTGGAAACGCTGAGATAGTTTATGCTTAGAATGTAAAGGGAGCCGGGCGGCCCTGAGCTCGGGGATTTTTAAGAACAACGTCCCCGATGCGCTGGGCGGAGCTGAGGAATGGGACTCCCCGACTCCTCACTTCTCCTGATCGGCTCCCCCTTAGGCAGGAGCATTTAACTCCCCCTTTGTCGGTCCCGCTCGGCTGTACTGACAGGATCAAGGCCAAGGTTAGTTCCCTCGGAGCACCTGCTCCTCGGAGGACTGACCCCTCATTAAGGTGGAAACCACTTAAAGCCGTGACTCAGAGGCGCCCAACTGCTTCACCAGCTGAAATAAATAAGGGGAAGGACCATCTGGAACGCAGGCCGAGCAGCCAAACGACTAGAGAGATTCACTTCCAGGCCGGCCTTAACCACAGGGCGCGATTTAAAGCAAGGAGGCTCGGGTCTGTTTTAAAAAGCGGTTAAGTGAGAAGGTACAGTCGTCATTTGTGACGCCAGGTTAACATGGGGACGCTCTCTTGCTAGTGTAAGCAGGTAAAAAGAAACAGCCCAGAAAGTTTAAAAAAAAAGACTTCAGTGCGTGTTGCATAACTTTACTGGGTACACGAGAGCGTGTTAACCGTTTGGGGGTCGCAGGGGTCACTAAAGCAGTCCCTGCCAGCAAGTCCTTCACAACTTGGTCAAACAAACAGAGGTATTACAGAGGGTAACAGCCCGGCCAGCGGGGCTCAGCGGTTGAGCGTTGACCTAGGATCCAGGAGGTCGCGGTTCGATTCCCGGTCAGGGCCCAGGCCCGGGTTTCGGGCTCGACCCCCAGTCGGGGGCTGCAGGAGGCAGCTGATCAGTGACTCTCTCTCATCCATGATGTTTCTCTCTCCCTCTCTCCCTCTCCCTTCCTCTAAAATCAATAAGACACTTAAAAAATAAAAAATAAAAAAGAGGCTAATAGTAGCGTATTGTGAAGCTTTGGGAGATCCAAGAATGGAAACCCATCCAGCCTAGAGTTCTGTTAATAGTTTACATGCTACTATACTCAGGAGGACTTAAGGTAGTTATAAACCCACAAGAGCGAAAAGTAACAGAAAGAGGTGACCTACCACAAGCACACCAATCCAACGTCAAGTCGGCAAGTCTTTATCTTAAAAATATGGCCTCTCACATTTATAAAATGTACTGTAACTCTGTCATTGTCCACTAGGGACAAGTCTGAATGTGTAATCAGAAAGCTGATTACCATAAATGTAGGGAGAGCCATTCGATATAAATGTTTTGAGCAAGGTAGATGTAGTCTACATGTTAATATGTCTGGCGTCATACAAGAAAAGGTTGAGTAAAGCGTGGGTTAATTATCTTAATTTTTGACAACTTTACTCCATGATTTAGTCAAACTTTTATGATTTTCTTCTAAAAATTTAGATTGTGTTTATTACTATTTAAGAGGTGTTCACTTCTGAAAACGACCAGTGATCTCTATGCATAGATTCACAGGGCTGATTTTTCAAACCATCAGAAATATTATCTCATAGAGACACGAAAGCCACTTAAATATGTCATCTACCCCAGGAACTTCTCGATGGGAGTAACTTTTCTTCTATATTTACTTCAGCTACAACAGAAGGAGCTTCTGCACACAGTTCTAAAGTGCATATCTAAAACCAGGAACAAAGACTTGAACTTAAAAAAATATATGCATATCAAAGATTTTACGAATTGTAAAGCACACATTCATTATAAGCAACCTGCAAACACGTGAGTTTGTAATATGACACTTGAGTGAACCCGCGATTCAGGTTGTAAATTTATTCTTTAATTTTATGTAATCACTTCCCCCCCAAACTGGCTTATATTTGTGGTCATCACTAGACATATTTTATTTTAGTTTTTATTGAATTTATTGGGGTGACGTTGGTTAATAAAATTATATAGGTTTCAGGTGTACGATTCTGTCATACACCATCTATATATTGTATCGTGTGGGCCTCACTCATATATGGAATCTAATGGACAAAACTAACAAACAAAATAAAAACAGACTCATAGAGAACAGACTGACAGCTGTCATGGAAGAGGGGGGTTGTAGGGCTGGTGGAAAAGGTGAAGGGGTTAAGCAAAAAACAACTCCACTTGATGTATTTTAAAGAAAATATTTTTGGTTGTGAGAGTGGGTGTTTAATGAATCTATAGAGTAATACTGTGTTTATATCCTGGCAACTATTTGACACCGAAAACCTAAAATGCATGTTGACTCAACTCTGGTCTTCTCAGGCTACATTGCTTTTTAATCGAGCAATAGTCTGGAGATAGCTTTTCAAATGAACAACATGCAAGACTCCAAGAAAGTTCATAAAAAACAGCTCAGTCCTGATGAGGTTGGCCAATATTCACAGAAATCAAGAACAATAAGTCTATCTATTAAGTACTCTTTCATAATCAATCTATAATGGAATTTAAATGAAACACACCATTATGAGACAGTAATTCTTATAGAGCAGAGAGCTATAATACGTTCGAAGGTAATGTTCACAAATTTATTAATTTAATCAATAAATGTATATTTTATAGATTTAATTTTCTGGAACTATAACATGGTAGCTCCTTTATTAGCTATTAAAGAAAATGTGTTATGCTTTGGGTGCTTTTAAAGGCATCCACATCTCAGTAAATTAGGTTTAGGCCTGAAAACAAATACTCCTAAAAATTAATTATAAGCAAAAATAGGTCACAACAAGGATAAATTGCATTGTTAATTCTAAACTTAACAAATATTAAAAATTTTAGGAAATTATGAATTGTGTTTAAGAAATAGCAATGAATATAGAATGACAATCTATAAGATTTCTTAATTTATTAGATTGTGTGTTATCTGAATTTATACTGGGTTAAAGATAAACATTTTTAAAAATCAACCAAACTATTTATTTCATGATAAAATACCTAGTAATCCACTCAGTTCATTAAAAATACATTAGCCACAACTATCAGTCTTGGGGAGAAACTGGTTAGAAACTCGTCACTGGGTTTATTTCAATTTTTAGAATATCAACTAGTTATTCATGACTTGTTGCCTTGAACCCAAACTTGAGAACATCTCAGAGTTGTTGGCATGAGCACATTATTTCAAACATTAATCACAGAAGTGTGGATTCACAGCTTATGAAATAATTATCTTTGGAGATATTGTAACTGGATAGGACTGCAAATGAGTAATTGGATATAAATATTCTTAATGACTCATCAAATCAGCCTTGAAATGAGAGTGATAAAACCCTTAAAATGTTATTGATGCGGATATCTGATGACCAGTAGACATGGTGAGAGTGGTTATTTGATATCAGTAAGAAAACAAAAGAAGAAAGAAAGAAAGTTAGGCCAATGAAATTCCAGATACATTTTCAGTAGAAAGGCCATTAGTGTTCGCGATGAAATTTCATCTTCAGGAATCACTCCCAGATTCTAGAGTAGAATAAGCCTTATTTAACGATCCCGTTCTTCTAAGAATCGCGATCATCCATTAGCAGCCAATAATACTCAAGCACAAATTATTTTTTGGTTTTGTTTTCCTTTGGAACTTACGAAATACAAACGATAAAATCATAAAAGCGCCTAGAGATGCGTGGGAAGGTGGTTAAAATCACACTCCCGAATATCGCAATGAAATTACCCAAGTAGCTGCTAAATTAAAACACCAGCGATGTCCGATGTTGCCTAATGAATGCTGGTAAGCTGAACGTACTTTGTAAAAGATGTTAGGAATTATTGGCCTTTTTTTTTTTTAGTTGAACCATTTTGAAAGTTGTTACCTAAGAATATTTGGGTCTTTGTTTTCAATTAAACTGATAGAGATCCTCAGGTTAATGATATAAATCTGCTAAGAAATCAGGCTTTTTTTTCCTGAATGGCACCGAGAAGTCAAGCAAAAGCAACTGTCCCTGCCAGAGGGGCTCTTCCCCGAGAGCCGCCTGAAGGAATGTCACCAAGAACTAATGTGCCTCCTGAGTGTGTTATTTATGTGTTTATTTATCTAGCAAAACAAAGGGAATACTGTTTAAACTCATTAGTCACCATGATGCCAAAGACCAAGAACATTCGGTACTAATATTTAATAAAACAAAGTTGAGTCAACATTGCATCTGTATAGAAAGAGAACTCTATCCAGAAAGACAGAAATAAATAAAATGTAAATATATTTTTCGGAATATATTTTGTTTTCACAATGTTTGCCCTTTTAAAGCTACTTACAAGAATATTATAAAGTAGATGTTGTTTTCTCCAGGTGGGAGATGAGGAAAATTACATGGAAACTGGTCAAGAATCGCACTAGTATCCCACTAACGAGGCAGAACTGGAAATGAGCTGGGGAAGGGGCCCCAGGCCTACCCAGTCTGCTCTTCACCATAACCCGCTGCTGGGAGGCGGAGAGGAAACCTTAACAGTCTTCAGAGAGCCCCTCATTCATCCTGAGCCGTAACCATATCCACGGGCCTTTGCGATATTTTTAAATAAGAGATACCTTTGTGCAAAACTTGCACAGATTGGTGTTACGTTTCTGTTCGTGCTTGAACTTTTAATAATAATATTCAACTTCCTAAATCACTAAAATTTTAGACACTTATTCTAGTCAGTAACTGATCATGCTAGAGATAATATAAAAAAAATCAAAATAACAGAAAATATAGGAAACTGAAGCATAGGCTGATAACAAAGCATCGAAGCTTTGAAGTCCTACCAGTTGAGTTCTTTGCACTTGTAGAAACAGAGCAAAAATCTGAAAAGAAACTCCATTTTTATTTTAAAAACACACAAATCTGGGGGTGAGGCTAATTTTATACATGCATGTGTGTACATAATGCACACGTGTGCGTGGACACACACACACTCTCATAGAGTTCCAATGGTTTCTTCCAACTTAGGTTTGATTTCCTTAACTATTACATACCAATCATTTTGCCTAAAGGTAATCAAGATGTACTGTATTTATAAAAATGTGCATGGGCATTATATTGTTGAGTTTATTAAAAGAAAATATGAGAGGCTGGAGTGACATGTTATCTGATTAAGTGATAAATGAAATCAATCATATATGGTAGCATGTCTATTTCACTTGGAAAACATTATTAAAGCAAAGCAGGTTTAAAATAAGTACCTTTTCTGCTCACCCAAAAATAAAGATACCCAAACACACCCA